AAATGGCTGTCGGAACAAATTAATTTCATAAGTAGAGGTACCACTGTACTTACAGTAAATGAAATTATGTCTGAGGACCTATCTTATTGTGAATGTTTGTAAATTGATCCTTGTTTCAGCTGAGGAGCAGCATTTCCTGAAAAACTCTCAGAAAATAAAAGAATGTGTTTGATCTGATCCTGGGACACCACATTTTTAGGCCCAAGAGTATACTTATTTACATCTGTCACTCAGACACTTGATGCTAGGACATATGGTTGAAGACATACAGCAATATAATTCTTGACCAAGAAGCTAAACTAGGACTGTAAATCATGTAGCCCTTGAGATAGTATTAGACTGCAAGACCCAGCAAGCCAAGCTGCATAGCTGATAATGAGGAATGTTGGAAGCTCTCGGCTAACAAAATCAAGGGCCAATCCACATTACAAAATTATAGCATTAGTAACATCATAGTTCTATGGAACCCTACAACTGGCAGTTGAGGGAGACACATTTAGTATTCTCAACCGGAGCACTCCAGTGCCCCACCAAACTATAAACCCCAGGATCCCATAGGATGGAACCAGTGGAATAATAGCACTATCATTCTGTTGTGTACAGAGCCCTGGAGAGCTACATAGTTCTTATCTCTGGGCTAAATTCAATTGCTGATCTCAGACAGAGTAAATCTATTAAATCAATAGGACTTACAAAAGTGTTAATTTACTACCTAGAGTAGACCCATTGGATCTACTCTAGGTGGGACTACCAATTGGAATTAACCCATTATGTGCCTCTAGATTCACTCTTTCATTTGAAAGATATAGCTATGTTTATAGATACCCTTTTAAAATACGTTCATCTACAGCAACATGCTCAAGCCCTTTATGATCTGATATAAACAAAATATGTTTTGACATTTGCCCTCCTCAGCATCCCATAGTCAGTCTTGGACAAGCCGTAAAATCTCAATAGCTCATTTCTCCCTTTAACTCAAAAGTGTCAGTAAAAGTTTACATATTGAATGATGAATAAAAGATTTTGCCTCAGGCCCTGAGCAACACCAAGTTATCATATGCTGCCAGTATCCCCTGGTCTCCCCCCCATTCCACCCTTCTTACAAAATTTTGCCTCCTAGGACTGAATCTCAAATACTCCAGATTGGAAACACATCTTATCCTCTTAAAAAAATGTGACACAGTTACCTTCTGCAGGGCTACTTCCAATTTGCAATACTGCAAGATGAGAAGGAACCTGAGCCCCAAGCCTCTGATAAAATCACATTGGGCATTCATTGAAACAGTGCTCCTTATGTTTTCAAAGATTGCTTCCTTCTACAGCATAGAGTTAGAAGGATATCTGTTATCTCTGGATGTGTATGGAAACTGGATAGTTTATGGATTATACATGTACTGGAGTTGCTTCTCCAAGTGAGTACAGTGCTGCAAGCCTCTAGATGGAACTGATAGATGCTTTATGTTTTAACCCAGTTTAGATTTATTTTTTCTTAGCCCAAACAGAGTAGATACAGCAGGAAGATTTGCAACCTCATTTGAATGAACCAGAGATCAGAAATGAGCTACTTCACACTGGAAATACACATACAGTTTTATGACAATGTCCCTTTTCTGGCTGCTGCAAGGAGGAAAATATAATAAGCACTGATTGCAACAGCTTCAGCTGGAGACTTCCATGTTAATCAGGGGGTGAATCTAGTCTGGGTTTTAGTATGAATTTTAAAGGTGCTATATCTAAAGCACTAACCTCTCTTTGGGTGGTAGTTCTTTGAATTTCCATCTCACTGGCATGGAAGACCTGAGATATGAACAGTGCCCAGATTGGAATGATAGAAACAATAAATATGTTTATAGCAAAATATTTAAAACCATATACAAAATGAATTCAAATAAACAATAGGAGGTAGGGTGGGATGCAGTTATTAACAAAATCCAGAGTTACACATAAGGACATTTCTTCTTTAATGGAAATATACATAGACCATGAATATAAATGGCAACATGATTGTCAATAGTTACAGAGAAATATTACTGCTGCAGTGGCAATGTTGCATTTATATTGTCATAAATGCAATCACATATTAATATAACTACATTGTCATATTGTTTATTTGTATTCATTATGTATAAGGGTTAAAATATTTTGTTATAAACATATTCATTGTTTCTATCAATGTTACCTAGTTGTTATTCACATCTCAGTGTGCTTGTTCATGGCCAGGGGCAGGCAACCTTTCTGAGACCTGGGCCGGTCTCCCGTAGCCCAGGTCTCGGCTGGGCCGAGGGGGGGGGAATGGCAGCGCCCACGCTCATGCGCTCACATGCAGCCTCCGTCACTGTGCGCGCCCTGGTGCATGTTGCTGCTGCGGCCGCTACAGCGGCCGCCGCCGCCGTACCGCAGCGCATGCCGCTGCCACCACAGCGCATGCCGCTGCCACCATTTTGGAAGTCCAAATCGCGGCTGCGATGCATTTGCGCATGCACAAGAGTACTGCGCATGTGCAAACGCGTCGCGACTGCCATTTTGATTTCCAAAATGGCGTGCGCAGCGAGCGCGGCCACAGAGCAGCAAAAATGTGCTATAACGGCGGCGTGCGGCAGCAGCAACCTTCAGCCTGGGCCGGTAAATCCAGGGACCGGGGCCTTAACTGGCCCCCAGGCCGTAGGTTGCCGGTCCCTGTTCATGGCACTCCTGTGTTAATTTGTGTTTAGCCCTCAAGACATCATGGCAGACCTATTGGCCAAAAGGTCCATTGACATCAGAGGAACAGGGGTAGGCAACCTTTCCCCTTTAAGGACCGAGGGACTTCAGCTCCCAGAATCCCAGGAGCTATTGGCTAACATGGAACAATTGGCCAAAATGGCTGAGGCTTCTGGGAGCTGAAGTCCCTCGGCCCTTAAAGGGGAAAGGTTGCCTACCCCTGCTCTAGAAGTTTTGGACTTCAGCTTCCAGAAGCCCCAGCCAGCATGGTCAAGGGTAAAGAAATATTAGAGTTCCAGCCCAAAACATCTGGAGGACTTTTGGTCTCCCTGAATGAGCAGGCCTGACTAGATATTTGAATTCTTTTGAAAATGTTCCCCTAAGAAAGAGCCTCTTTGTTGAAACCCCTTGAGGAAAGGTTTAAAACATTGAGGTGACACTGGTGCAGCTGTATTTTGTTTTAGTATTCATTTTTACAGCTGTTATATTGCTCTTTTAAAGATTTCCCTGCCAGTGACCCACCCAGCACTCTTACAGCTGCATTGATCAGTATGAGAGTCTGTAATTTTTATGATCAGAATCAGATAGCCATCTTTTAGGAGAAAATATATACACATAAATGAGAATATAAATACATCCATACAATTCCCCAAAAATATTACAGTACAGGAAACTCTGTTAACCAAATGGTTCTCCTGACTTTTCTTGGAGAGTGAATAACAGTGTGCATAATATCTTTCCTTCCTCAGCCACCTGATAAAACCTTCACAACATCCCCGTAAGATATGGCAGGCTGAGAGAGTGTGATTGTTCCCTGTTTACCCTGTAAGCTTATTGTCTGGGCAGGAATTTGATTGTCCCTAGTCTAAGACACACCCTGTAGCTGTTGCACTATTTTGTTTGTTGTTGTGTGCCTTCAAGTCTTTTCCAACTTACGGAGACCCTAAAGTGAACCTATCATGGAGTTTTCTAGGGCTCAGAGTGTGTGACTCACCCAAGGTAACCCAGTGGGTTTCCATGTCCAAGCGGGGAATTGAACCCTGGCCTCTAGAGTCCTAGCCCAACACTAACCCCTACACCACTCTGGCTTTGTTACCCTATACTGGCCATCAACAGATACTTCAGTTTTAATCTTCTGGAAATATAAGATTTATATCATCGTTACTAAGCCATTTGGCTAACAATCTCCTCGATTCCTTTCTTTGTGTCCTCTTCCAGAATTAATGCACTTTTAATCCTTGGTACCTCCATACCAACATTGGTTTGAGTGTAATCTTTCATCCTTACTGTACAAGCTAAAGGCTGCAAATGTAAGGGTGCAGAATTTATTGATGCACTTGTTTAGCTTTATGACTCCTGTCATGAACTATAAAGGCAAATGATTTCTTTTTCCCTGAAGAGTAGCACTAATCAAAAATAGAACTAGGTCAACCAAAGGCCTAGGCAGATGGAAATGGCTGTCAGCGATGTCATTTGAGGTCTTGATCCAGGAGGTTTGCATTTAATGAGGAATGTAATGGCCATGTGCCTGAGAGACCATGAATGCATCATAGTTGTATGCTTGGGTGCAAATACAGGTAAGTGAAAAGTGGCAGTAAGCAGATGATCCTTTATATCCATGCTCTAATTGAATCAAGATAAGGAGAGGGAAGTGAGAATTTAAAACCCATCAGTAGCCAGCTTACCTAAAACTCTACTCCCAATACATAGGCATTGGGGCAGTATGGAAGGTATTTTCAATAGGTGGAGCTTCAGATCATTATTTCTGTCTGCTTCAGGGGATGCTTCATGACTGGTTAACTGATAAATAATTATACATGACAAAATAACACGTTTGATTATGCACTGTAACACTGAATGTTTGTCAGATAAAGTGACAAAATGAAGGCAAACACCTTTGGGAGACAAGAAATATCATCTGAAATGTGAAACCTATTGAATGGGCCATTGATGCTTCATACTTGGCCTGGAAAAGCTATTTGTAAATGACTTTATACTTAATAGCACCAAACCCATCAGATCTTGGAAACTAAGCAGGTCAGTCCTGGCTAGTACTTAGGAGACTGCCAAGGAATACCGGGAGCTCTAGGCTATATTTTAACAGAAAGAAGTGGCAAAGGCAACTCTGAGTATTTCTTACCTAAGAAAACCCTGTAAAATGATGGGGTTATCATAAGTCAACAGGCAACTTGAAGGCACATATACACACACATTCACAAAATCCTTCAGCCACTGTAGCTTGACCCAAAACTGGCTTTGCAAAACCTGTTTCAGAGATGCAACAGAAATTGTCAAGCCAGGCATAGCTACTTATTTTAGGATACACCTTTAGTGTCCCCCAGTGACCATGGCCAATGGTAAGGGATTATGGGAGCTCTAGTCGAAACCTCTGAAAGTCACATGACTGTTTATCTCTGGAGAAGTTCAGCTTTCTTCATATCCACAAAGACCAGTTATAACATGAGCTGTCCAAGGTTCTAAATACCCATAGTCTTTCATGGATTTTTGTTGTACTCCACAAAAATACCTCTTGAGAATTCTAGTCAGGACCACAGTTCTGTTGTACTTTCAAATAAACCAAGTCAGATACTTGTGTAAGTTTGGCAAATGCCCATAATTAATGTCAGATACACC